CTCCAATCCTTTCCACACACTGGCCTAGCCAATGTTACCAGGAGGCCTGCTCGCAGGACCACTTAGCCTCAAGATACACAGTTAGAAGCCCTGGGGATGAGGACAGAGGTTGGTGTGTGGGCAGCCTTTGTCCGGGGTTCTATCAATAAAACCTATCACTGAGTAAGGGGGACATGGAGTTGAGGAGAATGAACACCAAGGCTTCAGAGATAGACCAGTAATCTAGGACACGTGAAATGGAGAAACTGAGACAAATAGCTGAACAAACTGGCAGAGCAATTTATAACAAATACAGAAAGTCACCTCCCTAGAGATAACTTCTAGACCTCAGTTGTATTTCAGTTCCAGGCCCAGAAAAGCAGCAAAATCATGTGTCGGCTGCGGACTCAAGGGTCCCGAGTTCGATTCCATTCAAGGGCATGTACCTTGGTTGCAGGCACATCCCCAGTGGGAGGTGTGCAGGAGGCGGCTGATCGATGTTTCTCTCTCATCGATGTTTCTGACTTTCTATCCCTCTCCCTTCCTCTCTGTAAAAAATCAATTAAAATTTTTATTTAAAAAAAATAAAAAGCTTCTGCACAGCAAAAGAAACCATTAACAAAACTAAAAGGGATCCTACTGTATGAGAGAACATATTTGGCAATGATACATCTGATAAAGGGTTAATATTCAAAATATATAAGGAACTCATACAACTTAACAAAAGGAAGACAAACAATCCGATTAAAAAATGGGCAAAGCACCTAAATAGACACTTCTCCAAAGTGGATACACTGATGGCCAAGAGACATATGATAAAATGCTGAAAGTCACTGTTCATCAGAAAGATGCAAATTACAATAAAACAATGAGCCGAAATTGGTTTGGCTCAGTGGTAGAGCGTCGATCTGCGGACTAAAAGGTCCCGGGTTCGGTTCCGGTCAAGGGCATGTACATTGGCTGCAGGCACATCCCCGGTAGGGAACGTGCAGGAGGCGGCTGGACAATGTTTCTCTCTCATCGACGTCTCTGGCTCTCTATCTCTCTCCCTTCCTCTCTGTAAAAAATCAATAAAATATATTTTAAAAAAACCAAAACAACAATAATGAGGTACCACCTCATACCTTTCACAATGGCTACCATCAACAAATCCACAAAGGACAAGCGCTGACCAGGATACGGAGAAAATGGAACCCTCGCACACTGCTGGTAGGAACACAGACTGATGCAGCCATTACGGAAAATAGCATGGAGTTTCCTAGAAATATTAAATACGGAACTGCCATTTGAACCAGTGATCCCACTTCTAGGAATATATCCTAAGAAACCCAAAGCACCAATCATAAAGAATGTATGCCCCCCTGTGTTCATAGCGGCTCATTATACAGTAGCTAAGATGTGGAAACAGCCCACGTGCCCATCAGCAGATGAATGGATAAAAAAGTTGTTTACATTTTCACCATGGGATACTGTGCAGCAGTAAAAAAGAAGAATCTCTTACCCTGTGAGACAGCAGGGAGGGACCTGGAGAGTATCATGCTAAGTGAAATAAGCCAGTCAGAGAAAGACAAGTATCACACGATCTCCTTATATGTGGAATCCAATCAACAAGACAAACTGATGAACAGAGTGGATCCAGAGACGTGGAAGCATGGAACAGAGTGCAGAATCTCAGAGGGAAGGAGGCGGAAGGTGGCTGGGAGGTAATCAACCAGAGAACCTGTGTGCAGATATGCAAGGCCCCTGAATGCAGATGGTGGGTTGGAAAGGGCCTGGATGGTGGGATGGGGGGCTGGAGCGGGTCAATGGGGAAATAAGGAGACATATGTAATACTTTCCACAATTAAGATTTTTTAAAAAGAAATAATTCTGAATAACAGCACAAACTGCTATTTTGAAGTGCAGTTGGCTCTTTAATAACACAGGTTAGAACTGTGTGGTCCACTTATGGGGGGCTTTGTTTTTAAATAAATTCTGTGAATGTAAACAAAACAAAACAAAAAAACCCACAACTGGAGCCCTAGCTGATTCGGCTCAGTGGCTAGAATGTCAGCTCATGAACTGATACTCTATCCTGGGTCACTCCCAGATTTGATCCTGGTCAAGGGCACGTATCTGGGTTGCAGGCTCAACCTATGGGCATGCAACCCATTGACATGAGACATCGATGTTTCTCTCTGTTTCTCTCCCTCGCTTCCATTCTCTCTAAAAATCAATTTCCTTGGGTGAGGATTAACAACACACACCTAGAAAATGGATGAATATTCTGCTGTAACCCTCCCCTGAGATTCCTGCCTGCAAGAGAGAGAAAAGGCTACAGACAAAGGTTGCAGTGTGCACTTTCCCTCCTGGGAGCCTTCCCCTCTCCCTCTTCTTCCCCCCATGCACGCACCTCCTAAACTCTAAGGGACCAGGGGAGCAATGGGCAGCAGCAGCTCACCCCAGGCCAACCTCTAACCCTGTCCCCAAGGCCTTTCTCTGACTCCCCAGAAAGCTAGGACAGCCCAGCCTAACTCACTTGTGGCTTCTTCTCTCCTAAGCCCTTCCTACTTCTCTCTGTCCCCGGTTTTATTTTATTTATTTATTTATTAAAATACATTTTATTGATTTTGTACAGAGAGGAAGGGAGAGAGATAGAGAGTTAGAAACATCAATGAGAGAGAGTCATCGATCAGCTGCCTCTTGCACACTCCCTACTGGGGATGTGCCCGCAACCAAGGTACATGCCCTTGACCGGAATTGAACCCGGGGCCCTTCAGTCCCCAAGCCGACGCTCTATCCATTGAGCCAAACCGGTCCCGGCTCTGTCCCCGGTTTTAATTAACATACCCTCATAGTCACCTGGACTGGTGTGTGAAATTTTTCCTCAAGTCAAGAACTGCGGCAAACTGCGGCTCTCAAGCCACATGTGGCTCTTTGGCCCCATGAGTGTGGTTCTTCCACAAAATACCACGGCCTGGGCGAGTCTATAATATTTTGAAGAAGTGGCGTTAGAAGAAGTTTAAAAAATTTGGCTCTCAAAGAAATTTCAATCGTTGATGTTTGGCTCTGTTGACTGAGTTTGCCGACCACTGTCCTAGACAAATTAGCTCAGGGCCAGGGCCAGTACTCCCAGTACTCAGATACAAACCTCAGACGCGTGGCCTTCCTCAATGTGACTGCACACTGCTGGAGCGACCATTGTGTCCTGGGGTCGAAGTTTTCTGTAAGTTTGCTGGGGGGGGGGGGGGGGGGGCAAGAAAGAAGGCATGTATGGATTCCTGCGGGAACTGTAATTCCAGGGAAGGTTTTGAGGAGATGAAGAAGGCTGGCATCTTTCAGAGTGAGAAGGGATCTTGGAATGCAAAGAATTTATTTGGGTTGAATCCCGTGGAAGCTTGTCACCGAGCTGTGTTCCTGAACTATGAGACGGGGGTATTTGAGCTGAGGAATAGGTCTCTTGATAAGTAAACGATTAACAAATACTGTGGGGAAATAAGTTAAAAAGTGAAACCTATCAGTGGATCCCCACTGCCTTGCAGCGGGAGGCAGGTCTGCCTGGGGAGGGGGCTCCTCCCTCGGCATGGTCTCCTTCCTCTTCAGACTCAAAAGGCTGAGACCCTGGAGCCTCCAAACGCAGGCTCTATGATTGCTTTCCCTCTGATTCCCACCACAGCCAGAGGCCAAAGTCTCTGCCTGCAATCTGGTTCTCAGCGGAATCAGCCAACCTCCTCCCGAAGGACCTTCGGAGACAGGTCAGATCAGACCGTGTCCATGCCATGGGCAGGCCCTGGCAAAAACAGGGTGGCCCATGCCTGCCTGGTTCAGCTCAGTGGACAGAGCGCTGGCCTGTGGACTGAGGGTCCTGGTTTGATTCCGGTCAGGGGCATATGCTCAGGCTGTGGGCTAGATCCCCAGTGAAGGGCAGGTGGTGAACAGCTGGTCAGTGATCCTCTTGTCATTGATGTTTCTCTCTCTTCCTCTCTGAGATCAATAAAAACACCTTATTTTAAATAGGGGGACCCAGGCCATAGTGGCACCCGAGGACCCAAGGGGAGGATCCCAGCCTGGTTCAACTGCAACCTGTGTTCTCAGGTGGTTTCCATCACCTGCCAGTCTGGAGTTTTCCCAATTGTATGTGATTGGGGGGGGGGGGGGGGAGCAAAACCACACACATTTGAGGTAACTGTAGATTCCCTGTGGTGGTAAGAAATAGCAGCGATCCCCTTGCCTAGCTTCTCCCAATGATTAAAAAAAAAAAAAGAATCCTCACTGAAGGATATGTTTTTATTGATTTTGGAGGGAGGAGGGGGAAGGAGAAAAACATGGATGGGTTGCCTCCCCTACACGCCCCGAGCGGGGTCGAACACGCAACCCTTTTGGGGTACAGAACACGCAACCCTTTTGGGGCACCAACTGAGCCACCTGGCTGGGGCTCCCAATACAAACTTTGGCAAAACTGCAGCATACCAACCAGAGTGCCGGCATTGGTAAAAACCCACCCATCCTATTCAGATTTACCTGGCAGGTGGGTGGCATGTCACTGACCAGGCCGGAGAGCTCTGACCCAGCCGGCCCGCGCACCAGCAGCTGGACCCGGGGCCCACCCGCCCCGGTGGCCTGACCATTACCGTCCCGGCTGCGGGGGGGGCCGCGGGCGGCTGTGGGGGGGGGGGGGCCGCGGGATGCGGGTTGAGGCGCGGCCGTGCGGGCGGGTCCGGGCTGCGGCTCAGAGCGGACCCGCCGCCCCTTCTCCCTCCGCGCGGCCGCAGGCGGGAGGGCGCAGCGGGCTAGCGGAGGCCTGGCGGCCGGGGCCACCGGGAGGGACGCCCCAGGGCCGGCGCTGAGCGAAGCGCGAGGCGGCTCAGCTCCGGGCCTGGGTCCCGGAGGAGGCGCGAGGGCACCCGGCCTCGCCGGGAACGGGAGTGCCCGGCGCCGCGCTCCACGAGGCCGCCCGGGGCATGCCGGGAAGCCGCGCCCGCCGCTCCGCGCCGCTCTCCCCCCCTGCGCGGCCCGCGGCTGCCCCCTGCCGCCGCGGGGTGGCCCTGCAGCCCGGGCCGTCCCCGCCCTCGCGCCGCCGGATTGGCTGCGCTCCGAACCCGGGGCTCCGCCCACTTCCCCGGGTCCTTTGATCACGCGCCTCCGGCCTCTTCCGGGGCCCGGGAGCCAAGCGAGGGCGTTCCTGTCCGGGCTGCAGCGGCGGGAGGTAAGGCATGGCCGGGGCGGATGGGCTGCGGAGCGCTGACACTGTCCACGCCTCGGGGTTCCGGGGTTCCAGGATGCCGGGGCCCCTCCACGCTCTTTCCAAGCCTCCCTCCCCCGCCTGAGCCTCCCGCAGCCCTGGAAACGGCCCGATACTCTCCCCACCCCGACTAAGCAGCCTGACCCCGCGAGCACCGGGACAGGTGGTTCACACCTTGCCATCGGGCGCGGACTCGGGGGACCAGGGTCAGGGGCCGTGGGGCATCTGTGGGCAGCCGCCCGAGGACAGTCTCCTTGCATCTATCCATGGGAGCTGCCCCTCTCCTACTTGTCAGCTCAGGCCAGGAGGGTAGGGACCTGGGCGGAGTCCTGGGTGGGGGCCAGAGGGAGGGGACTTCACCTCAGATGCAACTTGTGTCCAGCCGGGCCGGAGACACAGGAAGAGGATGTCCAGGCTGTGTGTCTGACGTGACACCAGGGACAGGGACACACACAGCCTATACTGTAGCCTGGAGTGTGGGGATTGGGTCAGGACTGAGACGGGCTCCTTCCAGCGTGCCTACCTCATCCCCGGGCTACAGTGCAGGGCCCTCACATTTTCACCTGATTTCCCCATTTTGCTTCACCGCATAGGTGCTGGCAGCCGAGCCCCCAGGAGGTTGGGGCAGGAGCTGGGAACCTGTATCTAACCTTTCCCCAGTTTAGAATTGCAAGTGTTTGGCCTGCACCTGAGCTGGGCCCCACCCTGATGTGGGGATCGGAGCTGGGCAGAACGAAGTCTCTGGGTCTGGGCCTCCCCTGGGTGCCCCTTTGCACCCAGGATTTGCTGAGAGTCGTTGGAAGGTTAGGGTACAGGGAGAACCCCGTGCCTGGCCCAAGATTTCATGTATCACCGGCTCTTGGGGACGGCTCCGGGGGCTGCACTGATCGCCCTTCCTCCTCCCCAGGGAGCCCGGTGGAGGCGCCCTCCCGAGGCACTGCCCATGCTGACTGCACGGTCCTCCAGCTGCCGATGTCATGAGTAACACCACGGTGCCCAGCGCCCCCCAGGCCAACAGCGACTCTATGGTGGGCTATGTGCTGGGGCCTTTCTTCCTCATCACCCTGGTCGGGGTGGTGGTGGCCGTGGTAAGGAGCCCCCTCGTTCACACATACACCGCACCTTTGCTGGCCTGGTTGTCTGAGCACAGCCTGGCGAGCTGCCCTGCAGTGGCTGTGGGGGTGGGTGGGCTGTCCAGGCTGCCCAGCCTCCACAGCGCTGTCTCTGTTACAGGTAATGTATGTCCAGAAGAAAAAGCGGTGAGTGTCCCTGCCCCCAGCACCTCCCCACATCGGGCTTAAATTTCCTCACGGGACTAGTGCTCTCTGCACACATGTAAGATGGCTCCCAGCCATCCTGACACAAGCCTGAAGCCCCTGCACCCCATTGTCAGGTTCTCCTGCCCAGGCTCAGCTTACCGGCTGGGGAGAGGCCCTTTGTCCTGAGCCTGGGGGGTGGAGGCAGGGCGGTCAGACGTTGGGGGGGCGTGGCTGAGCCCCCTCGCCTGCTCCCCAGGGTGGACAGGCTTCGCCATCACCTGCTCCCCATGTACAGCTACGACCCCGCCGAGGAGCTGCACGAGGCTGAGCAAGAGCTCCTGTCTGACATGGGAGACATGAAGGTAAGGCGGAGCCGGCAGAGCCGACTGCTCTGCCCTCAGCCCTCCCCTTGGGGCTGAGCAGCAAGGCCTCTTGCAGGGGCCTGAGCTGTGCCTCCCCCACAGGTGGTGCACGGCTGGCAGAGTGGCTACCAGCACAAGCGGATGGCCCTGCTGGATGTCAAGACCTGACACCCTCATCTTCAGAGCCATGGGGTCCTGCCGCTTCCCCTCCCACCTGCTCACCCTGGGCACTGGGTCTCCACTCCTCCCACCCACCCCTCTGCTTGGCGGGCCGAGCCTGCTCCCAGGCAGCAGGGGTTGCTCCCTCTGGGGGTGGACAGAGCCCTGCCCTCTCTGTGGGCCTTTAGGCCCCTGACTTGGCTTGGGAGCTTTCCATGGTGACAGGGCCTGATGTATAGTCTTCAGTATACATACTTTGTAAATAAAATGTTTTGTGGCTAGAGGTGATTTCAAGGGCTTTAAATTACCTCCGGAGGTGACAGCGTTCCATCCTGCCTCCACCCTGAAGACCTGAGCATGGCAGCTACAGACACCCCCTCCTACACACACCCACACACTCACTCCAGAGCCACCCAGCACACATTTTGGGTTTCCGCCTTCACCTGCTCCACCAGGTGCACACCCCCCTCATCCCCCCTACAGACTCCAGTCCAGAAAAGGATATATTTTTATTCAAGTAACTGCAAATAGGAAACCAGAGGGAGGGGCCCAGGCTGGGACAAATGGCTACCCCCTCCCGGCATAACGGGGGAGAAGGTGGCCCTACACTCCGCTGTCAACACCGGCCCCCTGCTCACTCTGCTGCAGCATCCTAGGGGCAGAGCCCCCCTTCCCTGGGGCTGGGGCAGTCTGCTTTGCCCCTGGCTCCTTCCCAAGAGCATCTTGGAGGGGAGTGTGGGCAGAACAGGAGGCAGTGAGGGTGAACATTTGGCGCTGGTAGCAGCAGCAATGACAAGATGTCTAAGAATGAAACATGGAACAAAAAAACAACACAACTGTCCAGAGGTAGTTTGTGAACAGAGGAAAGATGGAACCAGAACCTTGGGGGGTGGGGAGGAGCAGGGGTGGGAGTGGGCAAGGCTCGCTCCTTGCTAGGGCCCCATGAGGGGGAGGAAACTGGAGGCAGAGTGGAAGCAGATGGGGTCAGGCTCACACCCCTCCTGCCTTCCCTCCTGTGCCCCAGGGGGGCGCTGTTCAACCTAGCGCAGGGGTAGGCGCCTCGTGGAAGGCAGGTAAGTGGGTGTGAGCCACACCTGGTGAGACACAGGTTCGTTGAGTCATCTGGGGGCCAAACAACCCTATCCATGGCCACAGGTGCTGCTGCCAGGACAGTGGAGTGGGGGCATGTCAGAGAGACGGGGCTCAGGCCCCTTTAAGGCCAGGGGAGTCCTCCCAGGCCCCCTGATGGGAAGCCAGAGGTAAGAGTGGGGAAGGGACCCCCTAAACCGGGAGCCCAGTCAGCAATGCCCCCACCACCCAGGGAGCAGGGACGCAGCAGGCATGGGTGCAGCTAAGTGGGATGTCAGCTTTGTCAGGATGCCGGGGGGAATGCATTGTGGGGGGAGAGGATGCTGGGAATCGAGACCAAGGAAAACTGTTCCCCACTCGGGCCACCAGGGCCCGGCTGGTGTGCTGTGTAGTGTGGCGGTGCAGGCGGGCGGGCGGGTGGTGGCGGGGGGAGGGGCGGGGCAGGGGGAGCGGAGCTGTCCAGTCCCAGAAGGAAGCGGCTCCACGGGGAGGAAGCAGGGGGCACGGTCACTGCTCTTCCTCGGAGGACTCCTGCGAGATGCCCTCTTCTTCCTCCTTCTCCTGTGAGGGGGACAGGCAGGGCCATCAGCTCGGTGCCAGGCCTGGCCCTCCTCCGCCTCCACCCCCAGCTGCAGGGGAGGGAACTCAGGCCCGCTGCCCCCACCCCTCCTTGGCTCTCCAGAAGGGGGATGAGTCAGGGCTGAGTGTGTGGGTGACTCAGCAACCTCCACAGCCCAGCTTCATTCATAAAAAAGGAAGAATTTAAAAGGAGGGGAAAAAAACACACGCTGCTCTCAGAGCCATCCTCCCTCCCTTGCCCCAGGGCCCCTGGTGGGAGACAGGGCCGAACCCAGAACAGCAGATTGAAGCTGAAGGGAGGAGTGACTGGCTGGGGAGGGGAGAAGCAGCCAGGGAGAGGAAACTGCAGAGAGCCAGGTGGTCTTGGCACGCAGGGGCAGCTGCTGAGCTGGGGCAGTGGCCGCAGCCACAGGCTGACCCCAGGCCAGGGCGGGAGGAAGGGGAAGTGTGTGGCCCAGGGGCTCACTCACGGGGCGGGAATGTCGGGACACCACGGGCTGCAGCCCCCGTGCCAGGCACAAACTCCAAAACAACTTGTTTCCTGTTACTCACTCCTGGGGCCCAGCCAGCCCCCCAGGCCCCCCCGCCCCCCAGCCCTGATGGTAGTGGCTCAGCTCGAGGAATGAATGCCTCAGGGAGTTCAGGGAGCAGGTTGGGGATAGGGAAGGGCTGGGAACGGGAAGGCTAACCCAGGGGAGCCCCCTAGAGGCAGTCTCCTGACTCGACAAACCTACTTCCACCACCACCAGCTCTGGGGGCCCAGAAGTGAAAGGGGCCTCCTTGTGGGTCACCCCTCAGCTCCCCCCCAGCACTGACACACACACACACACACACACACACACACACACACACACACCCCAGCGCGGAGCGCTCTGCTGCTGCTTCCTCCTCCCCAGATCAGGGCAAAGACCCGCCTCACTCCTTCCCCTCGTTCCTGAGATGGGGATGGATTAGAGCAGGCGTCTTCAAACTGCAGCCCGCGGGCCACATGCGGCCCGCAGAGGAGTCTGATCCGGCCCGCCAGGTTTTTTGGGCAGTGAGCGCAGCCGAGGTGTTACAGTAGGAATTAGTAGTTCATATAGTCCGGCCCTCCAGCTCTCTGAGGGACCGTGATCTGGCCCCCACTTTAAAAAGTTTGAGGACCCCTGGATTAGAGGGCGTCCAAGAGCGCCCCTGGAAGCAGACAGCCTCCAGGAGTGCAGGGCAAGGGTCTGTGCTGTACCAGGGAGCCCTCACCGCTCATGGGCACTCGGCCCTTTACACTAGGTGCCCGGAGCCGGCCGGGGCCAGGTGTGACAGCCATCATTCCCGACCCAGCTGGTCGGGAGAGCGTTTTCCCTGGTGCACAGGATCAGGTAGGCCTCACCCATTTCTCCGCACCCCACCCAGAGGGGCCAAGCCTGTACCCCCTTCACCTACCAGTTTCTTGGGTCTGCCCCTTGGCTTCCTCCCTGGAGTCGTGGTGGTTTTCTAGAAGGGCAGAGAGAAAACCCAGAGTCAAAAATGTCCCCATCGGTGCTCATCCAATAACGGTGGCTGCCCTCCTCTGCTCAGGGCAGCCCAGGAATCTCATCCCAGCCACAGGTCCGCCCCAGCTGGTCCAGCTGGTGGTGACTGGCCACCACACTGCCCCCCTCAATATACACACACGCGCCCCCCACTCCCTCCTCCTCCCATGACTCAGAGGATATGAGTCGCATCTTAGAAAAAATAAAATAAAAAACAAAACAACTCCTCTGAGAGCCTGATGCCGCCGGGAAGCTGGCCTTCCCTGCTCCCCAGCCCGGACCCAGGACCCCAGGAGAGAAGGAACATTCTCAGCCCGGGGGCTCGTGCGGCTGCCCCTCACTGTGCCCAACCCTCCCTTCTCCGGGCCAGGGATGCTTAGGGCTTGACTTGACTTCCCCATGGTCCCGGGAGAACCAAGGTGCAGAAGTGAGACCTCAGTCATCACCGTTTCCCCGTTAGCAGGGACCCACTGCCCATCATCAGAGCCTCAGGATACGCCAGCCCTCCCCACGCCTCCCTCTGCGAGCACTAGGATGGCCACTCCACCCCAGCTCACCCGGGTCTTGGCAGCGCCCTTGTTCTTGCTCCCCTTTGGTCTGCCCCGAGGTCTCTTAGGTGTTGGCACTTCGCTGGGCTCCTTCTGCAAAGACAAAGGAGGCAGTGAGACCCAGATGCCGCCTGTCCCACCCCAACCGGAGTTCAGTCAGCAAGCCACCCCCTCGGCCAGGAGCCCACAATGGCAGGGACAAGTCAGGATTCAGTTGTTGGACCATCTTTCACAAAGGCCCTTGCTCCCCTGCGACAAGAAGAACCTGGGGAGGGCATCCTGGGGCCGACAGCGACAGCTCTGCCCATCTCAGCTCTGCCACTGACTAACCCCAAGATCCTGGGGAAGACCTTCATGCCCGAGCCTCGCTTTCCTCGTTTGTAAAGGGCATCATCAAAGTGAAATGAAGGAAGCAGAGTCCTGAGCCGCCACCACCGCCCACCCTTTTCAGGCCATACGGCAGCACTCGTCTGGGATGCAGAAGAGCAGAAAGGATGTCTCCCTTGGAGGGCGCCTCCAGCCTCCACCTGTGAACTGGCCCCGCCAGCTGCCTCCCAGGGAGAAGAAACCCCAGAGACCCCTACCATTGTTGCCGCTAAAATTTTAATAAGCCCGAGACACAATAAAAAGCTGCTGCATAATGCATAGAAGCCAGCAGCAGAGGCAAGCGGCCACGGCTCCCCGGGGGTGGCTTCTAACCACGGTCCAGTAACCCAACACCCCTTCTGACCCCCAACCCCACCCCAGGAACAGGCGGTGGGGAGGCCCAGGGAAGCAGACTGCAAGGCCGAGTGCCCCGCACACCGGGCTCTGAAGAGGCAGCGGAATGCCACCCCCAGACTCCTAATGGCTCGTGGCTCCCAGTCAAGACAGACCCTCTCCCCTCGCTGCCGGGAGGCGGGAGGCCGTGTGTGAAGGGCTGGCCTCGGTCTCCCCTCCTCCCCAGGAAGGGGGAGCCTTCGCCCACTGGCCATGCCTCCCGGGTGCCCCACAGGGCAGGCTGGAGGAAGACAGCACCAGGGTTCCGAGGGTCACTCTGCCACCCTCCCACCCACCACTTTCAACTTTTAGGCTTCCATTTCCTTGATCAGAGCCAGGGCGAAGCCAGCCACCGGCAGTGAGGCCCTGTCCTGGCGATGAGGGAGTGCAGAAACGGTCAGTGAGTACCCAGAACTTTCCTAACAGCAACCCCTCAGCGACATGAGGCGGATCTCCTGCTTAAAGACCCTAGGCTTCTCTCACGTTGCCAGAGTTCATCGTTACTGTCCTCTCCACACAGGGCAGGGCAGGGCAGGCGGGAAACAGAGCAGTTGGCCTCCCTGTGCAGAACCGAGGCGCGGACCCTTCTGCTGGGGTCTCAGGGGGCCTGGGAGCTGGTGAGTGCTGGCTGTGCAGGCATGCGGGGAGGACATGCAGACAGACAGGAGTGATTCCACCTGCAGGACGCCTGGCGCACACACACACACACACACACACACACCCCGGCCCAAAGGGGTAAAGCGAGGCAATGCTGTGGACACCCACCTGGCTCCCTACCAGTGCGGTGCCAGGACTCACCGGAGGCTGCTTCCTCGGCCGGCCCCGCCCTCGCTTCTCAGTGCCGTCCTTCTCCTGCTTGGAGGCCAGGGGCTGGCTGGACTTGGAACTAGACTCGCTCATCTTCCTTCTCTATGGAGCAGGCGGAGCGATGGCTGATGCTGAAGGTGGGAAAAAGGGGTGTTAAACAAAACCGTTCCAGCCACCTCCTCCGCCCTCATCCCCCCGCCCTCCAAGGAACAGCAGCAAAACTGCCTGCGCCCAGATGCCCACCTGCCGCAGGGAACTAGCCCTTTGTCCGAATCACTCCTTAGCTCCCGTAAGAAGGGCTGTTTTCCCGCCACCCCCACAGGGCCAGGGCCCAGGCACAGGCAGCCCGGCCTGGCTGAGGGGGAGCTGTCCTGAGCAAAGGTGTAGATGGGGGGGAGGGTCTTCACACCTCAGAGGGGGAGGGGGGACTCTCTAGCCAGCAGGGAGCAAGAGAGGAAAGTTAGGCAGAGACAAGGAGCCAGGCAGCAGAGGCCACACACTGTGCTGACAATACTGTCCAGCTCGAGGCTCAGGACCTACGGCTTTCAGGGCCAACCTTGACATCCACACCGACCTCAAAGCCGGCTGGTGCCTGGGCCCCAGCAAGGGCCCTCTCTACGCTCCCCCAGGTAAAGCCTGGGGTTCAAAGATGGGGCACAATGGGACCCGGCAAAGTGGCTGAACCGCAGTGGGCAAGGCTGAGGGGGGAAGGAGCCCACAACGGAAAGGTGGGTCTCCTCGCCCCCACCCTGCCCACCTGATCAGAGATCTTTCCCTTTGACCCCGCTTACAGGAGGGGCTTCTCCAACTGGGCCAACCTTCCAGCTGACCCTCCGGAGCCCTGGCAGGCCTGACCCTAAAAAGCTTCTGGGTCCTTTTCTAGCATGTTCCCTCTCAGAAGCCTCACCATTTGAGTTTGCCCCAAACCTCCCCCTGCAAGGACACCTGCACGCGGTCGCTGGGAGCCCCTTCGAGGCATAAAAAGGACATCGAGGCCCTGGCCGGGTAGCTGGCTGGTTAGTGTCGTCCAGATACACCAGGGTGGTGGTTCTTTCCCCGGCCAGGGCACATACAGGGACCAACCAATGAATGCACAAAATGAGGGAAACAACAAACTGATCTCTCAAATCAGTAATTAAAAAAGGAAATCATCCCAGTCATATTCCCCAAGTTATAGACAAGAGGCGGGAGTTAGGAAACCCGTGGCTCCACCACCCCCATGGGGACGATTCCTGGCTGCCTGGCTGCGTGGTGAAGGGTGGGCTGGGCGCGAGGGACTGGCTCCGGAAAGCCCCTCAGGCGGTAAAACGGGGTAAAGGTAAGACATTTGCCTCAACCCTCTCCAGCCTCCTGCGAAGGCCAGACCAGATAAGTTTTAAAGTTCCTAAACAATGGGAAGTCTTCATGCAAAACGAGAACTAGAACATTTGAAAGTGACTTTTCTCCTTTTCAGACAATTTCCAACGAGAAAACATTTTGCAAATTTGACTTTTGGAGGACCCCATCCTCAAAGCTTCGAAAGCTTCGGAGTACTCCAGGCAGCAGGGCCTTTTCTGGTATCTCCCCTGTTTTACAATATTTTAGACTTGAAGACGCTTTAAGCAAGATGGTTGGTGCGTTAGCCATCATCAGTGGCTTGGCCTCTCTGTAATTACAGGCAGCGATTAAAATCTTCTATTACACCACAGGTCCCCTTTCAAACCAAACATCGAAATTAATCAGCTAAATGAGTCCGGTCTGCTGGAGGCCCCCTCAGAGAGGGGGAAGCTGGGCCCGCTGCTGGGCTCCTGATGAGTTTCCCTGGAAGCTTGTGATTCATTGGTGCTTCCTCCCACCTCTTGCTGTTGGGGACCCTGGAGCCCACACTCGCCCACCCTAAATCCAGCCCTCCATGAGTTGAATAAAGGCCCGAGGCCCTCCCTCTCTGCTGAGACCAACCAACGCTGCCTCTTCCACCTGTTTCTGATCATCAGAGGCTTGTCGTGGAAAAGCCATTTTTAGGGCCCAATCTTAATCCTTCAGTTTATAAGACCTTCTGGTGCTCCAGCTTGTCCCCTGTACACGCGGTGCCCGTACTGTGTGCTCCACAAATGCTTAGAGAACTTGCAGGAGAGCATCGCTGAGCTGCCTTGTTTTACAAAAAAAAAAAAAGTAGTCCAGAGAACCTGGTAAGTTGCCTAAAGTCACACAGCAAGTTGAGGGACAGGATGGAGTAGGTTCCTGGCGGACCCGCCGGGAGGCTCGGTGAAGTCCCTGTGGCCACGGCTCCACCCTGGGTCCCGGGGTGACTCTGCAAGTGCCTGCATGGCCGTTGCAGGTCCACCGGCGGGAGCAGGGGCCAGAATGGGCGGGGGGAGGGGCGCTCTCGCAGGCGCGGGAAACCCGTGCACCCCGACCGACCGCATGCACAGCCACGCGGGTGCACCGGCCCCACTTCCTGCCAGAGGGGGCACCCCAGCCCGCCTTGGGGCAGGAAACCTGGCGCGCGCGGGCGCGGAGAGAGGAAGAAAGCCACCTTCCTCTGTGCCCTCGCCGCAAAATAAAGCCCCAGGAAAACACACCGAAACGGGGAGTCCAAGGGACTAGTTCCAACAGAGCCCAGCAAAGCAGAGAAACCAGTTTGTGGGGGTGGAGGGCAGGCCTGGCCCCGGGGGCTGGAGAGGCTCGCGGGCCCGGCCAGAGGTGGGGTCGGGGTGAAGCCCCACACCCGGGCCCGCGGCTCGGCCTCAGCGGCGGCCAGGGGCGCCAGGTAAAGGCCGGGCGGGAGCAGGGCCGGATTGCGGGATCCCTGCCCATCCCCCTCACTTCTAGAACTTCCCCAGGCTGCGGGGGACGGCCGGCTCCCCACTCTCCCGCCGCGCCGCAGCCTGCTCCTCCCCCGCCCCCCGGCCGCACACTCGGGGCCGGCTCGGGCCCGGGCTCGGCGGGAGCGGCGGGCGCGAGGTGCATGGGTTCCGCCGGGTGCACACCTCGCGCTCGCCGCAGCCGCGCGCCCCCTCCCCCACCGCGCGCCGCCCCGGCCCCCGCCCCCCGCAGGGCGCCGCGCCGCGGGGGAAGCAGTGCGGGCGCCCGCCCGAGCCCGCGGGCCCCGCCGCCGCCCCCGCGCCGCGCGGCCCTCCGCCGCCCGCGCCTCGCGCGGCCCCGGCCTGGGAATAAAGCTGGAGGCGCGCGCGGCACCCCGGCGGCTCCAGGAGGGGCGGCGGGGCGCCCCCCTCGGCCGCGGGCCCCGGGGACGACTCACCGCGAGCTCGGCCGCCGGCCTGTGTGCGCGCTCCGGGCTGCTGGGAGCGACGGTGCTGGGCGCTGAGGACCGGCCTGGCTCCGCCGCCGCCGCCGCCGCCGCTAGTAGCAAATGCGGATCTGAAACCGGGAGGGAGCAGAGGTGCTCAGAGCCCGCCGCCGCCGCGTGCTCGCCGCCCAGGCCCCCGGGGCATTTATGTGTCACCGCCAGGCGGGGGCAGGGAACATCCCCCCTCCCCTGAAGGATGGCGAGGGGCAGGAAGCCGGGCACGGCCCGTGCGCGGCCTCAATAAATAATCCCATTAAATGCTAGATATTTAAAAAAGCAGGAGCCACCGGAGGGGCCGCGAACTCACGCCTTCTTGGAGCCGCGCCAGCGCCAGAAATAGCCCGGGCCCGGAGTCCCAATTAGAGGAGCGCAGCCCCGGCTCAGGGGAGCTTAAAAAGAGCGACCCAGGGGCAGGGGGGACGGGCCCGCCCGCGCCAGCCGTGTCACCGGGGGGCGGGGCCATGCAAATGAGCCCGGGGATTTAAAAGGGCGGCCGCCCGCCAGCCGCCCCGCGGGTGGGTGCTGGCTGCGGGGTGGCGCCGCGCTGCGGCGGAGGTGCCGGCCACTCCCCACCATCCCGGACGGGGAACCTGGGGGAGGGCACCGAGGGGTCGTCTAGGAGCTTTTCCTGGGGTTGTGGGGGAGAGCGTCCTGGGACGGGGTTGTCCCGGGTAAATGACTTTTAGGGGCATAAGGGCCCGCGGGGCGCGAGGCCGTGAGGGACGGTGTGCCTGGGGGTCCGCGGGGGCGGGGGGCGGAGAGCTCGCGGCCTACCCGCCGCCCCCGTCGCCCAGAGAGCCTTCCCCGGGCGGACAGGTGTCGGCATGCACGTTTCGGTGCCAGCCCGCGTGTGGCCACCTGGTGAAACGCCGCTCTTGTGAAATTCAAACGTGAAACTTGTGAAATCCGAGTTTTAATTTATTAGCGGCCGCAAGTGAACCTCAATCACGGTGCATCCTTAAGGCAACACAAACGACGGGCTCGGGGCAGGTACCCCGAGGGGGGACCCCTCAGACGTGCTCTGCGCCCGCCGGGGCTTCGCGGACGGGAGGCGGGGGCGGGCGTCGCCGGGATGCGCGGTGCGGGCAGGAAGGCGCCCGCGCTCCCCCGGCCGCCCCGCCGCCTGGCGCCGGCCCAACAAAGACTTGTTGCGCGACCGACCAGGAAGCCCAAGTGGGAAGATGGCGGGAGGGCAGGGGGAAGAGAGGGCGCCGCCGGTGGCGCTCCCTGCAGGCCGGGCCGGGCCTCGGGGAGCCTCCGCGCCCCCTCCCCGCGCCCGATCCCGGGGCGGCCTCCCCACTCCCGTGATGCAGGGAATTGCAATGCGGCCCGTGACACACGGCGGTGACTCATGTTTTTCTTCCTCCCGGTCAGCCCGGCCCCGGCCCAGCCCCCTCCTCACGGGCCGCCGGCGGCGGGGCTCCCTGAGCACGGAGCGGGGTCGGGGGGAGGGGAGCGGCGGCCGGCCTCCCAGTCCCAAGAATGTTTCAGGAATGTTTCCGGTGGGGGTGGGGCGCCGGGCGGGAGCGGGCCCAGCCCCCACCCGGGCAGCACGTGCTCGGCCGGGTGGGGGTGGGGCGCCGGGCGGGAAGGCGCCGGGGGCCCACGGAACCGGTTTAAAGGAGGGCGCGGGGCCGGGCTGGGAGTGGGCGGGGAGGCCTCCCGCCCGGCGCCCAGGTGGGACGCTCCCGGTGCGGTCCGCAGCTGCCCCGGAGGGAGAGGAAGTCACCGCAGGGCGGCCCGAGGGGAGAGAGGGCGGAGGGGATGGAGGGGAGGCTGGGGGAGGGGTGGCTGCCCCTTTGTCTGCAGCCCCGGTGGGGGTGGGGCGGGTGCAGGCGCGCTGCTCCATCTTTGTGGCCCGCGCCGGGCCAGCGCGCGCTTAGTAGGCCGCTGGTAGAATGGCCGGTGGCCGGGAGTTGTTCGCTCCAGAGCCTTCGTGGAGTGGGAGAGCGAGCCCTCCACCCTGAGGTGGCAGGCCCCCGCCAGCGACCCGGGGCCCCAGGCTGGTAGGCCGTGCCTGGGGCTGGCGGCCAGGGAGGCCTTGTGTGGCCTGGGGCTGCCCCTGAGAGTCGGCGGGGAAGCGGGGCTCCGTCTCCAGTGGGCTGTGGGAAACTTGGCCAACTTTTTGGCCCACTTTTCACCAGCCGACTTGATCTTATTTTCCCCTCGTCCTGATTTCCTCACCGACTTGTTTTTTACCTCGTGTTATGTGTGTTTTTGTAAGCCACCTCAATCCCTCTCTGGAAGGAAGCAGATATAAATAAATTTCTAGGCAAATAATAGTAGTTTATCCTTCTCCAGGATTACCCACACCCTTGAAATCCAAATAACTACCACTGACCCCCACCGCCATGCTTTCTAGAATGCAAATGCCCCAAAATTACTTTGTTTCCTCTTTCAGTAAGTATTTATTAAGCAGAAGGATGAGTGGTAGGGGTTTTAAAAATAAGACCGAGTCCTTGCCCCAGTGGATTTCATGTCTAGAGGAATCAGAAGTAGGAGCACCCCAGAGTAGCCATCACCTAGATGCCAGGAGGCAGAAAGCCTGGGTTCATATTTACTGAGGGCCTTCTGTGTACAGGAGTGGCCCATGCTCTTGGGTGCAATCGGTGAGCAACGTCAAGTTCTCTATGCTCTTAGAATGTAGACCAGGGGGTCAGGTGCTGAAAGAGAGACTTGGTGGGTGCTACAGGAGGAGAGGGGGGAGCTGGGGATAGTCAAGGAAGTCTCGGAGAGGTGGGCTTGAGCAGGCCTGATGGGATTTGGGGGGCCATGGGGAGCAGGCAGGGAGAGGAAACTGTTCTAGGCCAGGGCCATCAACCTGATTGGTCAAGGCCTGAGGGGCCCCAGAACCAGTCCTTGCCACAGGAAACATTTTCTTATGTCCGAGTTGAATTATACAGTTTTCATAAGGACAACCCAGTGAGCTCAATGATGAGCCCCACAGACATATTCAGAAAGCGGGGAGTTCAGCTCAACTTCCTTTTTCGGGACAGCTGGGCTGCTGAAATTCTTCCTGATGTATGTTAGCTCTTTCCCTGCCCTGTTCAGTAGCAGGAGCCTGACCATCTCCCGGTCGTGGCTTGAAATGCAGAGGTCGTGGTAGGTTAGCGTGCCCCTTAGCATTCCCTGGGGATTCGTGTCTGACATCCCTCCACTTACACATTTACTTACCAGCTTTTCTCCGGCTTTTGCATCAGCTGCAGCTCTCGGAAGAGGAGAGGTTAATGGAGGTCCCACAAGGCGGGAGTCAGGTGTGACAGTGTTCTGAACTGGCCTCACCTGGAAGGGAAATGGGACAAGGTGGGGTGAAGAGGCGTAGAAATTGTCGCACCTATTGACCAAACCAGGATCCTTTTTAAAGTAAGCCTTTCACTGGTGAAAAATGTACACACAGAAAATGCACAAATCCTGTGTTCAGCGCAACACATTTTCACAGTGAACACCCTTGTATCACTAACACCCAGGTCAAGCAGCTTCTGTGTGCTTTGTGTGGATGGAATCACACATTACAGACTCTCCTGTGTTAGTTTATTTTGTTCAACATTATGTTTCATTCATTCATGTGATTGCACGTGGCTTCGGGATGTTTGTTCTCTTTGATGCCTAGTGTAAGTGTCCCACGGTTTTTATATCCACTCTGTGGAAGGGCATTTGGATAGTTTCTGGTCTGAGACTGTTACAAATAGTGCAGCCACAAATGTTCTGGAGTGTGTCTTGGTGACTAGATGTGCACATTTCTGTTGGGTACACACCTAGGAGAGGAATTCCTGGATCATAGGATATGTATGCCCAGACAAGCAGGACACTGGTGTGGCTCAGTACTGGAGCATCAACCTATGAACCAGTTCGATTGATTCCCGGTCAGGGCACATCCCAGTAGGGGGTGTGCAAGAGGCAGCCAATCAATGATTCTCATCATTTGTTTCTATCTCTCCCTCTCCCTTCCTCTCTGAAATCAATAGAAACAACACAAAGAGTAAAAGGGTTTACCAGCAGTTATGACAAGCAATGAGCATGAACCTGAACTGGCCCATTGTAAGTGGGATTGACCCAGGACCATATCAACCAAGACTGACCTAGGCAAGCCAGGTATAGGATCCCACTGGCGTGCAGTGTTGACCACTGTGCTGGAGAGTCACCCAGCTACTAGTCCATCTGGTCATCTGGCAGGATCAGGCCACTGGGCCCTGCCGACCACAGGCTCTGCTGCCAGGAACCCTGGCAGGCCTAGAGTGGGAGGAGGACCTTTTCTGCTTCCAACTTTCGAGGGAAAAATTCTCCAATAAATAGGAAGGCCAGAGCCCTAACATGTTTGGCTCAGTGGATAGAGTGGACTGAAGAGTCCCAGATTCGATTCCAGTCAAGGGCATGTACCTTGGTGGTGGGCACATCCCCAGTAGGAGGTGTGCAGGAGGCAGCTGGTCGATGTTTCTCTCTCATAAGTGTTTCTAACTCTATCCCTGTCCCTTCCTCCCTGTAAAAAAATTAATAAAACATAAAGGGGGGGGGGCAATGTTAAAATATGTACACAGATAATAATTTAATGTAAAAAATGTAAAAAATAAAAAAT